ACGAGTCACCACTTGTGTGGAGTCCTGGGAGGAGATTGATACCTACGATGAACAAGTCGAAGGAGTGGATCGAGGTTCAGTTGAACCTACGGCAACAGTTGACTACTTTGATTCGCACCGAGTGAGTGGAATTCCACGACTGGAATTAGAAAAGCCGGATTTGATGGCCGAACACCCTGTCACTGACACGGAGGATGATCAGGGTTGGTTTAAGTTTCTCACTTTATTTTATGATGAAAATGTGGATAAATGTCCTCACAGACAAATGGTAGAATGGATAGTTACAGAATAGATAGATGATTAGGGTTAAAAATGACAAAGAGAGAAATGGGTGACTAGAATTGGTCGTGGAAGAATAGACAGATTCGTTTGAAAAAAACAGATTTGCAAGTAAATCTTTTTAGTAGGTTTGTTGAGAAATGAATTGACGAATGGCTTATGGCTGGGTGGGAAGGTGAGTTGGAAGAAGGCAGCGGGTGAATGATCGCAATGGCGGCGCTAAAATGTTTGAATGAGTGAGCAATAGTTGGGTTGTATTTTAGCAAGCAAAGCTCTACACTTTTACCATTGGGAGTAGTAGTGATGGAAACCCAACAGCGCCGATTATTCATGGATGAAGGTACTACTAATAGCTGGTTGAGAAGCTCAAATTTGAGTGAAATCTGTAGTTTTGTCATCTCAAGTAGTCTACTTTGGCTTTTTCCTTCTTGACGCATTCAGGTGAAGTTGAATACACCGCCATTCCCCCATCACCCATGTTCTCCCGCGCCGTCTCGCAGCAGGTCATAGAGGAAGGACGCGTTGAGCAGGTGGAGGCTGATCGAACCAATCAGAAAGCGGTCCTGCGGAAACAACTGTCCAATGACAATGCGGCTTTTGTAAGGGGCGTCAGCACAAGGCTTTCAGACAAGCACTCTGTTGTCTCAGGTAGGCATTTTCAAAACTGTCGTAACAAGACAAAAATTGGTTGAAATATGCCGTAGCTTAACCACCTACAAAGTAACAGTTTTACTAGCTTTTGATTCTCCTTGGAGAGTGCCTTACAGATGTGTATTGCGTAAAATACGATTGTTGAGTGAGACGGCTCTCGCGAATATCCCCATTCACCTATGCGTCCATTTATGTTCTCATGGCTAACTTTATCGGTTAATTGAACGTTTGCAAAATGGAGATTAAAAGTCGCATCCTTCTGAATTTGTTTTTCGCAGAATAATTTGTATGGAAATTCGATGTCATCCTTTTGGAACACTTTAAAGGTGTG